TTAAAAAAGTATAAAGTATTTATAAAATAAATGTAAAAGGTGAAAGATAATAATATTTGTCCTGCCCCAGAGCTATAACTGAGCAATTTAGTTGAATAGCAAAGGAATAATGTCTCAGAATAAGTTGCTTTAAAGCTGCTTTAAAGCCATCATTGACCATAAACTAYATCTYTCATAATGCATGTCGATCATCCATGAGAATACCCTGTCAGAAAGTGGGAGAGTTCAAAATTCAAGATGGCAGCTACTCACTAGAAACTCATCAGTGAGTAAAACTATTAGTTTTATTTTTGATATTATTTCTGTATCATTTATTTAAGATTTAATCAGTCATGCACTTAGTACTTTTCTGTGTTTATCAGAGGACATTTTAAACATTGTTTAGTCAAAGTTAAACATGAAACATCAACGTTAATTACAACTGGCCCTCCAAGGGCCACCATAACGCTCATATGGCCCTCAATAAAAATTAGTTTGACACCCCTGCCGTAGACTAAAAAAAATGATTCTATTTAAAATGTGCTTTTGTACAGTCATTCATTTTTTACTACTTTTTTCTGCACAACAAACAGAGTGAAAGTTAGCAGTCAGCCTCAGTATCTGTGTTTGTGTTCAGGCTGTTCTGATGCATCCGCTCCAATATTCGATGTATACTGCTGAAGCTTGGTCTATCTGATGGGAGTGTGCTCCAGCAAAGTCTCATCAGGTTGTACAGCTCCAGAGGACAGTTCTCAGGACAAGAAAGAATTTGTCCATTCCTCACATAGTAAATAACCTCCTCGTGACCCATTCCATAATATGGCTGCATGCCGTGTGAGAAAATCTCCCATAAGACCACACCGTAAGCCCACACATCCGATTCTGTGGTGTAGCGATTGTAGAAGATGGACTCTGGAGGCATCCAGCGAATGGGGATGGCATCGTTTTCATTGGCTTTGTAGTAATCAGCTGAGTAGATATTTCTAGAGAGGCCAAAATCTGCAATCTTCACAACCATTTCCTCTCCAACCAGACAGTTACGGGTTGCCAGGTCGCGATGAACAAACTTACGCTCCGAAAGGTAAGCCATCCCTGCAGCGATCTGCTTGGAAATGGAAAGCTGTTCAGCACAGGACAGGGATGCCGTTTCCGAGTCCGAGGAGAAGCTTCGAACCGAGATGCTCACGCGGCTGATGGGGCGCAATGACTGGGTGGGGGATTGGCGACGCAGGAATTCGTTGAGATCGCCCTGGGCCATGTACTCAAACAACAGACACATGGGCTTCCCCACAGCACACACACCTGAGGACAGCACAGAGACAATGAAAAGAATTAAAACGTAAAAAAAGTTGGGATACATTTCTACCAAGCCCCTAAAAGTACCTTGAAAGAAAAAATAATAATAAAAAGAAACAAACATTCTCAAGCCCACCAGTTACTACTCTGTGGAACAAGATAGTACCTACTTTCTCATGTGCACCTGATAATTTACTGGATCTTTCAGATTATTTTGGACTAGCTGTCTTCACTGAAATGGAAATATGTGACATAACTGAGCTATATTACCACTTCGGGCTGACCTGCAAAGACATTGCTGCGTTGCTTCTGTTGTATCAGGAAGACACCTAAAACATATTGATGTACAGGGCCTATTTTGGCACAAGGAGTACACCATCCTTGTAATGAGTATATGTATACATTCATAAAAATAATAACTATCTCATATGCATAAGAAAGGTTTTCTTATCTTTTTTTCCTTCACTGTTCCTTTAGAGGCTCGGTACATTCCAGTCAGCTTCATTATAATTAGGAATGCAACGATATCGATATCCATTGTTATTATTGGTGTTTTGACCGACATTACGTAAACAAAAAATATATATACATACTGTATATGCACAAACACACGTGTCTTTTCTCGATACCGTAAAAAAAATAAAAATAAAAATAAAAAACCCTGTACCGCTGACTTGGCTCTACTTCAGGCTGTGCAGCATCAATAACACTATCATGATCAAACAGATACCACTCAACCAAACATTTCCCCTTCCAAAAGAGAAACACAAAGCTAAAAAGTGGGAAATCAATATCGGCCCAGTTTTACTTATCAGACCGATACCAATATTCTAAAAAATGACCAATATTGGCCGATACAGATGTYAATGCCATTATATTGTGCATCCCTAATTATAATAAAAAATAATTAATTGTTTAGAAAACATATTTAATTTATTGTTTATGTGGGATTGTATATGAATACCTAAATGTTCACGTATGTTCACTTAAAAAGGATTACGTATTGGAAGGTAACTTCACTCTGTGAAAACRTTTTCCCTTTAGCAACAAATCACCTTAAGCTTTAATAAAGATGTGCAAAATATTAATTGGCTGTTTTCAACAGTGTTTTAAATAAATCTTTTCAGTGACTTAAAACATKTATCTAAATACTTATTGGAAATAAATAAATGGAGAAATACCCACCCAATATTGTGATTATTAAGGTGTTATAAAGGTGTTAAATGTTGGCAAACCCAAACCTCAGCAATGAAATTAAACTAACTTTTGTTTCTGTTTTGATTTTTTAAATAACTGTTTTGTATTTTTACTTGTTTACTTTTATAAATACAGTAACTCATAATAAACAGAAACATCCCAGTCAGATAAAGGCTTGCGACATATGATATGTTTAATGAGAAGAGGAAGTGTGGAGGTCGTGTTCAGTTAGTTTATGTTCTGCGGGTCACAGAGTGGTGCAACTCCCCAGAGAACAGGCTCAGAATGTCTGTTTGTCATTTACAAAAATGATGCATTGGTACACATTTGAAAAAAAAAATCCAACTTGTCTGAAACCAATAGTCTTCATAAGAATGGAATCATAATTCTAATATAGCAAAGTTTTTTGTGTTTGGTTCTGATTTTAAGTGGTGATCACAGAATTAAAAAGAAAAAAAAACTACTCTGTCCCTATATACATCAAAGATAACCTACATACTCAACAAAGCACTGACATGCATACATCTCTAAATTTGACTTGTTCATTTAAAGAAAGCATATTTTTGCACRACATATGAAGTGTATTATTAGTCTCGAGGGTAATTAGAGGTTAAGGAAATGATCTAATCAAACTTGGTTTCATGTGTACCACGATACTATTTACTCTCCAGTCATCTAAATTGAAGGTTGCCCAGATCTAAGTTGAAAAAAAAAGAGAAACACAGAAGTCCTCTGAAATGTGAGTGAGTTAATGTTGATTTAAAAAAAATATTCTACAAGCTTCCTTCAGCAGGGCGAGTGACCGATGACTCTGTTTACTCTCTGCCAGTACTAAAAAGACCATGCTGTACCTCTAAATGTCTTACTGAAAGTATATTTAGATGTGAGCTGTTTGTGTTAGATAAGATATAGACTATATTAGAAGGGATAAACTTTAATGGAGGACATTTGCTTTACTCAGGCTAACAAAAGCACATTAGTTGTCAAGCTGCGTTTGTTTATTGGCAAACAGTCCTATCTGGAGTGGGTCTATGGTATCAGTGAAGATCTAGGGTAAAAAAAAAGATCATTCAAAGCACACACTGTTTGTGAGAGGAAACTGAGTTGAGCAAAAGTACTTTTGCTGATAGAGATCAGCTCAAATCAATATTGCATACATATCAGATGAGTGGCAAACTCAAAGTCTATGTCTAGATGCAAGTACATGTGTCTAAATAAATGAATACTGACAGCAGAGATATATTTATAAAAACAGACGTGCAATAAGTGCGTTTTTCTGTTATTCGATGTTCTTGTAAATTTCTGCCATTATTAAAAGTTCATTTCTCAAACAACTGTATCCATCTTTGTTTCTGTTTTACACACACAAACACATTTTTACCAAGGAGTCGAACGATGTTTGGATGGTCAAATTCAGCCATGAGCGCCGCCTCTCTCTGAAAGTCATTCTGCATATCAGCCGATGCTTCCTCCTTCAGCATCTTCACGGCCACCATGGTGAACGATTCTGTGGACAGCAGGCCYGGAGCTCTGCAAACAACATGAAAAACACAGAACATCCATTCATATCCAAATGTAATTATCAGCTGTTTGGTCTGTTGGTTTTTGTCAGAAAGTGTTTTTGATTTCCATTAACTGTAACTCTCATTTATTGTACAATTCTGTGACTGACATGGAACTATGCAGATTGGAGACATTGGTTTGCAAAAAGGCACAGTTAAAAAAGTTTCAAGTTTTAAACATACCTTGAACAAAGCTGACAAACAAGTTGTTGACAGATTTATAACATTTTTGAATTAAAAACAGTTCCATGACTCCACATGCTTGTTAAGTCTGATGAAAGAGATCAGTGTGAGACATTTGTGTCCTGCTGCGAAAAGGTTCACGGTGGTCTGAAAGTGGCTCCTCTCACAGCTTTTCCCTGTGACTTTGTGAATGATGCATCAGTTCTCAAACCGACCAGTGGCCTTGTTTAGTCATGATATCCTCGTGCCTGTYCTAACTCTGCCTCTGTACTCCTTTTAATCCCTGTCTGCCTGTGAAAAATCCACATAATCAGTTTGTGTGGTAATGTTGATGATGATGTAATTAAGCAACACTTTTGTTCTTTTGTTTTTGAATTCTGTTTAACTGGTTAATTTGCTTACTCCTTACTGACAGTATAAATTTTGTCATTTTCACACCATTTTCTTTCTCACCTGGCTTGGAAAACCCTTCCAAAAGCTCCTTCACCAATATCTCTGACGTACTGAATATTATTCCGGGGGTACTCCAGAGCCAGTAGCTTTGAGTTCAGCAGCAGGGGGACTCTCTGGTACATGGGGTTTGGGTGGAGTCGATCCAGCAGGAGCTCTGACGGAAGAGCACTCAGCGTTGGTGTCCTCATCGCTCTTCTAACACAGAAAATACGAGTTGTTAAAAGATGGAAAGGAACGAAGGACATTAAAAATTGTGCTGTTTCTTTACCTTTTCCTGTTTCTCCACTGCTTCCGCCGTTTGATGCAACAAAGAATGCTTATTGTGAGGAAGACTGCAGTTGCCATTGMGGTCAGGACAACAATGATGACGGACATTGAGTAGGCAGGTGACGAYACAGTGGTTGTTGGAGGCTGACGAGGATTCGGATGTAGGACTGTCAACGCTGGTGTCAACACTATCAAAACATGTAACAGAAGGTTTTACAGTAGTGTCAAAAACCCTTTCCTTTCATTGTCATTTTTTAAACTTTTTGTTCAAAAGAATGGGCCAACACAGAAAAGCTACACCATCAGGCCAGGATTCTGCAGTTCATCTACAGGCCAACAGTCGGTCTTTCAGGGATGATGGTCTCATCCCTAACAGAGAGGAACGCTGGTTTGAGTAAAGGCTCCTGCATACTCCCTCCAAACTGCCGAAATGGCTTTGGATTGTTGCAGTTTCATGACGAAAATTGCATAATTCTGTTCGCATTGTCAACCTTTTGACAGCTTCTTGACACAACTCACAATTTGAACTTTTACCCCCCTCCACATAAAAAGACATGACTTTATTGTGTGATTGGTCMRRWGTTCGTGGGAGCGTTTCTTCATGCTAAAAGCRCTCAGACGCTGCATTTTGCTTCAACTGTAGTGAAGTATGCTGCAACGGGAGGGGTTTCCCAGGAGCATGGGGTGCCTCAGGGAAGGTGTGTACAAAAACAAACACTGAACTACCACGTGGCCGCACATCGACTGTTCGGCTTCGGAGGCAGTATAAAGGAGCCTTAAAGGAAGCCATTTTTGTGAAGAAAAAACATCCATCATTAAAAAAGGTGGAGGTCTTCGGGTCCAGTTGTTCCCCTCTTGCAATGCTGTTATTGTGAGTATGACTCAGCCCCTTGTGAACAATAAGTGATAATCAGGGCCTCAACGATAGGCTGGTGATGATGCACATGATCCTCTATGAACAATAGGTGATGATCAGAAAACTAGTGATCTATTGTTAGGCTGATGGTCCTCTTTTGCAGGTTAACAAACAGTGTTGATATTCATTGTTGAACCTGTTTGTCCAACATGTGGAGGCAGTGCTTATAAGGCTGAGTTTACCTGAAACTCCTCAGACTGAAGAAGTGTCTTGGAGGAGAGACGGAACATTTCATTAAAGAAGAAGTCGTCCAGAGG